AAGAGATGAACAACAAATCAATACTTTTTATACGAAATGCTTGAGAACAGTACTTGGGCTGAATCTTGGTGATAGAGTTTCAAACCAGACAATATTGGAGTTATCAGGACAACCAAACATTGAAGAAATCATGGGCCGCAATCGGCTACGCTGGTTTAGTCATGTGAACAGGATGGAGAATGATCGGGGACAGGCATCTCTTTTAAAACGAACTATGTTTTCCTATTTACCTAGGGAAAAAAGACCAGGCAACATGGGTGTTCGAAAGAGGTGGGAGGTTGCGATTATGGAAGACATCGCTGAATATAAAATTTCCAACTGGCGAAGGGAAGTAAATAATCGAGATGGCTTGCGCGAAACTATTAATCGCCGAGCAAAAACAACAGCAGTGAATAGCAACATCAAAGCAATTATCCAACAATACAAACAAAAAGCAGAAGACAGAAGATGGACTGAAAAACAAGCCACTTTAGGAAAAGCACCACGAAGAGTCGTCGAAGTTCTTGTAAAAGATAGCAACAATTTATATACATGTCCAAATTGTAAAAACAAATTCAAGCCGCAAGGGATAACAGGACATGTAAAGGCATGTGCAAGTGACTGGTGTAAGAAAAACAACATTGAGTTGAACAAAAAGTAGTGGAAACACTTCACTTGGTGTGATAATCGTAAATATATGACGTGTTTAATTTAAACCAGACTCCTGGAGGGTTAAACACTGACGAATACAATTGGCTCACCAGTGTTGGATCGAACAAACCATCGCCGAATTGATGCACATTCTAATATCCTTTTTTTCTTGTTATTTTAATTTGTTCCATTCTATTTATTTTCTGGTTGTATGTTTATGTTGTTCCATCCTATCTTATTTTTTGGTTTTATGTTTATGTATGCTAAAGTTATTGTTTTTGCTCAAACACTTTTTTTTTTAATGTCTCACCCTACACTTTTTTGGTATTTCGGGTATTCAATACAATACTCTGTCGATTTCTTCCTGAAAAAATTTTTTTTCAATGATCAAGCCTATTAAATCCTCATTATCTCTATGTGTTTGACAGACATCCTTTAAATAAATCTTTTCATGAATTTCTCTTTCTTAACTGAGAAATATCTGTTGAGAATACATCCTCTTCCATTCGTTAACTTGTGCATTTTATACGATTGCACGGAAATAATTAAAAAAATGTTAAATGATGATTAGTGTTTGATAATTCAAACGGTTTTGTATCTAATTGATATATTCAGCCAAAACGTCTCAACAATTAGAGTTCCGGTGTGAGCGTTAGCAGTCTTATCTCTCGCACTTCACACTCTTCTGACATTTTGCCGAAGATCGAAGCCTTTTAAGCACACAGCATGAAAAAATCTAGTACTATACTTAGATTTCTGTGTTATATATTAGTATTCGGTTAAAAAAAAACGTTGTCTCGTTAAACCTACCAATGCCAGAAACACTTCTCATTATTGACATCTGTAGATAAAAGTTCGGTAATATATAATATTTGCATTACTAATTGATCAAGTTCCTTTATTATCTCGCATTGATATCTATTAATATCAAAATTGTTTCGTCGAATAATATTCGATGATAAATTTAGGTATGTGCCATTATTTTGGAGGTTCTACTAAACAAAACGATTATAATTTCTATATGAAGTTTTCTTTTTTACAATGTAATCATACTCTTAGTATTCATATCATAGATTTCTCTAAACAATCATAGTCCTAAATCTCCATGTTGAATTCAAATATAAATTTCTCAGAAATTTTCTACATTTCAAATGAAGTTATTATAGCTTGATAGGTTCTCCAATCAAATAAATATAAATTGTAACAGCTCTCTATAAACCATGGATCCGAAATATCGTATTTTTATCAATTCGAAATTCCGAATGGCCCTATTATGATATCTGTGTTTTATATCTTACTTACATCTGAAATAGCTATTGAATTAGCAAAGAAGCAGATCATTTATTTATCTTCGAATAAGGGTGTGGGTTTTGGTGTCAATGTTGATGTTCAAGAGAATCGGCTCAGTCACATCCACCTCCAATTCTACATCCACACCGATCTGATGCCGTTATCGCTGATCGCTGATGCTTGAATTTCTACAAACAGAGATAGTTTTGAGTTTAACAAACGAATAAGAACGTACGACTGAAACATGGCATAGATGCTTTAAAAATTTGAAAAACATTAGACTCTGACTTAACCTAAGAGGATCTGGGGTCTGGATGGGTGTCTTTGTTCTTGATTAACACCCACACCCAACCCACACCCTACCATCACCCACACCCACAACCACATCCACACCCCACTCTCACTCACACCCCACCCTCACCCACCCACACTCTCAATCATCATCGAGAGAAAAGGCTATTTCAGATAAAGCCTTCTTAATTTAGTTTCACAAATCGAAGTATTCAATATTGATTCTGGGCTAAGCGGGTGTGGCTATAGCTGGGTAAGAAATACGGCTATGGATGCAGGGTGTGGCCGTGGGCATGCGGGTGGGTAGAGGGTGAGGGCTGGGGGAATGCGGGTGAGTGTTAGTGTGATTGCGGAAGTGGATATCAGTGTATCCGGGTGACTTTTGGTGTGGCCGAGGGAGTGGATGTCAGTGGGTGCGGGTGGGAGTGCGGGCTGGCAGGGGTGTGGGGGAGTGAGTAAAAGTGGTCCAGTGTTGCTGTGGCTGCCGGCGTGCGTGTAGATATCTGTCGGTGTCGGTGTGCGTGAGGGCGTGAGTGGGTGTTCGCGTGTTTCGGTGTCGATGAGGGCGTGAGAGGGTGTGCGTGTGTGTCGGTGTCGGTGTATTTAGCTGTGGGTTTAGATGAGATGAGAGTGGCGCAGGTTGAAAAACTACTATACCCACCGACACCCGCACTCACACTGATCCATACCCACAGCTAAGACCACACCCCACACCCACAGGCATTGCCCACACACGACGTCCAGAGCCATAGCTACATCCAAACTTACGACCCCATCCACACTCCGGTCGAAACCCCGGAGTCAAACAGCTCTGATTGATTGGTTTCCTAGGGCGACAGAATATGATTGATACAAAAGCCCGCAGCAGAAAACATATGGTTGGGTCATTTTTTAGGGCGAAAGAATATGATTAGCGGACAGCCCGGGATCGAAAATCGCTGATTAGCCAGTTTTTTAGAGTGAAAGAATATAATTGGTCGAAAGTTCGGGGTCGAAAACTCCTGATTGCCCGAATTGTCAGAGTCAAAGTCTGATTTCGTGATCTTGTGTTTCTTTGACCTCTTTATTCTTTTGACCTGGTACAAACCCACAAACTCTTTTAAGTTTTTTTTGCATGATTCTCCCTTCAGTCGAGGGAATATCTTTACTTTCTCACAAAACCTTTCTTTAACCCAAAAAACTCAATTCAAAATTTTCAAAAATTAACTTCAGATTCGGATTTCCCGACCCCGATAGTTTTTCGTCAACCTTTATAAAATATCATTATTTTCTCAAAAAACTCTTTCCTCAACCCAAAAAACTCAATTCAAAATATGAGTGGTCGACAGCCCAGGGTTGACAACCTCTGTTTGGGTGATCTGTCATAGTAACAGTATGATTTTGTTTTCTTGACCTGGCACAAACCCACAAACGCTTTTAAGTTTTTTTCGTAGCATCCTCCCTTCAGTCGAGGAAATAGTATACTCAATATTTTAAAGTAATTTTTTGCCATAATTCAATCTTACAAGGGAAGTTCTTCAGCTTATGAATGATGTTTGAGAATGCAAAATCAAACAGATCCATAAAAACACTGATTTTCAAATTTCTACTCGAGCGCTGTTTACCATCAAAATCTCAAGTACGAACATCATACATATCCGGTGGGTTATATATTCATAAAATAAGAACCGATTCTCATGGATATCTGTTGCAATACAGGATTTCAATTCGAAATTCCGTTTTTGTGTTATCATGAAATTCATTTCAAAAATAAGACAATGGATTTGAAATCGATGTATCTGTTCGACAACTTCTCACGTTACAGAAGCAAAAGTCAAAGTAACAGAATATAAGATTAGATCTGCTCTATTTAAGAGTGGTAGAATCAAGAAACCATTCGTAGTCGAAAATCCTCACTGCACCAAGAAGTTTCAATCATGACAATAAAAAGCGTTCGGTAGAATTTCCAATTGCTGGAATGAAAAAAAGGGATCATTTACCGATCGGCAAAATATTGTATTGCACCATCCCCAATACGTAATTTTCAAAGAGCAATATTAACATTAGTTTTATGTAATTTTTCAAATTTATCATAAACTATTGCCCATTCAGCATCAGCATTTGTTTTTGATATTCGTACCTATAAATATAAATACTTTCAATAAAGAAAAAATTCATTCGAAAAAACAAAATATTACGAAAAAACATTTTAAAGTTTGAAAAAATTGCTTTAAATGCAACACCAGGAACAGATCGTGAATCGTATATAGTTCAAAAAATAAAACCCTGCTGCACAAATGAACTGTATAACAATAATAATTGTGCTCATCAGTCTTCTAATTCAAATATATATCGTATTCGTGGCTGTAGTGGCACTTGATAATTGCAGAAAGCATTGATGAGTCTTTTATTTTTCGTTTCTTTTTGTTTTGAGAAGCTACTTCCTTGTCTAATGAAGCCCGAGGCAACAACAACCAAAAAAAAACATTTTTTAAATTGTAGTTATCTATTTTTTTTTCTTTTCTATCGATGACGATATTGCAATCCTTTTGGCCTTTATCATTTCTCGTTCTTCCTACCGTCATGTTACATGTATGTACACAAATTTTGCTAGGAACACTGTTAAAATAAAAGGAATAACGCTTGAGATAAGAAGTCCTTCAAGTCGATAACAATCGGCGCAAAAGCAACAAGTGTCAACATAAAAAGGAAAAAAACAAACGAAAATATATTTAGAGAGGGAGAGACGTTTTTTATTCACTTACAACATAACAACTATATCATTGTCACTGTCAACATTATTACGATCGATGGATAAAAAAATTCTAAAACGAAGTGCTAGTGGTTCGTCTTCCACAATACCCAAAGCCAAAAAATCATCATCATCAGCAGCCGCTGTTGCAACAACAACAACAGTACCAGTAAGCAGAAATGCCCCGCTTCCACGACCTGTCCGTCGAGTTATTCAAAACTTTCTTCTCGTCTGGCTTGATGCGAATATTGACGAGACCAAGGAAGATTTTAAAATTTCGTTAAAACATCTACGGCATATTGTGGCATCCATTACAACATTTACGGATGACCAAGAATGTTTTGAATTTCTTCGTGAAATTCAAAATGAAAAAGTTTTCATGATTGTATCTGGTGCATTAGGACAACGAATAGTACCAAAAATTCAAGAACTGTTACAATTAGACTCAATTTATGTCTTTTGTGGCAATAAATCATTTCGTGAACAATGGGCCAACAAATTCTCGAAGGTCAAAGGTGTTTACACCGATATTAAACCAATTTGTCAAGCATTGGAAATTGATCGTGAACGATGTGATCGAGCTATGGTTTCGATCAGTTATAATGGTCTAGATCCGCTGTTCATGTATACTCAATTATTAAAAGAAGCACTGTTGGAAATCGAAGACGATGATAAAAAATCTATTGAAGACCTTGTTGATTGTTGCCGTCTGGAACACGATGTACCAGAAGATGAAATTAAAAAAATTGAACGTGAATATCGTGCTCATACTCCAATATGGTGGTATACAGCGGAAACGTTCATTTATCCTATGCTCAATCGTGGACTTCGACAAATGGATGTCGACATAATACTTAAAATGGGCTTCTTCATCCGCCACCTACACAATCATATCACAGAATTACATCGCGAACAACAAGACACTGTACCAGTCAAATTTCAAGTCTTTCGCGGGCAAGGTTTGTCCATGGAAGACTTCGAAAAGATGAAAAAAAACAAAGGAGGACTTATGTCCTTTAATAATTTCCTGTCGGCCAACCGCAATCGCACGGTCCCATTGGAAAATTTCGCACGACCAGCCACACGAAGTCTTACTTCTGTTGGTATCCTCTTCGTTATGACTATCGACACGGCGATTTGCATGAAATCATCGACACCTTTCGCCGAAGTCAGCAAAGTTAGCTTCTTCGAAAACAAAGAAGAAGTACTTTTTACAACACATACAATTTTTCGCGTCGATCGCATCGAAAGAATTCACGACGGACATACAGATCGCCTATGGCAGGTTAATCTCACCCTCACAGGTAATCAAGATGATGATTTTAATAAACTTACGGCACAGCTGCGTGAAGAACTCACTTGGGTGACAGGATGGGCTCGCTTCGGCGATATACTGATTAAACTAGGAGAGTCCCGAACAGCAGAACATCTCTATAAGATACTACTCGAAAAAGCATCTACTGACAAAGAGCGATCACATCATAATCATCAGCTTGGTAAAGTGTATGATAACATGGGCGAGTACTCGAAAGCACTTTCATCGTATGAACGATCACTTGAAATCCAGAAAATAGCTCTCCCTCCTAATCATCCTGACTTGGCTTCTTCCTACAACAACATCGGTATGGTGTATAGAAACATGGGCGAGTACTCGAAAGCACTTTCATCGTGTGAACGGTCACTTGAAATCCAGAAAATAGCTCTCCCTCCGAATCATCCAGACTTGGCTTCTTCCTACAACAACATCGGTATGGTGTATAGAAACATGGGCGAGTACTTGAAAACACTTTCATCGCATGAACGATCACTTGAAATTCAGAAAATAGCTCTCCCTCCGAATCATCCCGACTTGGCTTCTTCCTACAACAACATCGGCATGGTGTATTACAACATGGGCGAGTACTCAAAAGCACTTTCAAATTACGAAAAAGCTCAAGAAATTTTGAAAAAGTCACTGCCTCCAACACATCCACATATTGCCATGGTAAAAAGAAACATTGAAAATGTCAAAAAGAAAATGTAATTTTTTTTTTAATTTTTAAACGAGAAAATAAATTGCTCATCTTGAATACTTGGCACGCCAAAGCGCACCAGCTGCACAATTTCCGGCACGCTCGACCAGGGATATCCTCCGTATTCTGCTGGTTCGTACAGTGGACAAAGCCGGCAATGATTAGGTAAACATACATTGATGTATGTCGTGAAGGCCTACCATCTGCACACCTGCACGGGTCCCCAACAGAACGTCGGATACCTCTGAGGAGGTTAATTTGTATTAGAGCCGCCTCCCAAGCTCCGTTAGTTATAAAATTTTTGTTCTTCTGTTAGAAAGAACGAGAAGAAGCAGAAAAGAAAAGAAACGAAGAAAAGACAGACGCGAAAAAGACGACGTCGACGTTACGGATAGACGGATACGCAGTGTACGATAACGACCGGTGTGTACCCACGAAAAAAACTTTTCAAAAAAATTGTGGTAGGCAACGGTATTAAAAACCGCGGTTTTGGCCGGTATTTTCAGATGCCGGTAGTCAGACCATTTATTCGTTTCTTTGAAAACGCTCAAAAGCGCGGTCTCAAAAACCGCGGTTTCGAGCGGTTTCAAAGAAACGCATAGATGGTCTGACTACCGTTATAATAAAAAATCGCTCAAAACCGCGGTTTTTCAGACCACGTTTTCGAGCGGTTTTTCCCGACACACTAGATTGAACCGACTCCAGCATGCCGACCATAACCTGAAGCATTCAGACATGGTGCCCTTCTAGGGGCAGTGAAGTGAGCTCTCTCGAGCTCCATTTCCACAAAGTACCTTTGTAGAGTCCGATTAATTATCTGTGTAATGATCGAAAAATTTGGCAGAAAAAGTGGGGCACGACATCTTGACTGTCCTTACACACTACTTTACACTTCGATATGCACGACGGTTTTTCACAGCAACACCGCGGTTCTGTAAGTGACGAACGCGGTTTTTAAAACCGCGTCTGCCAGCGGTGTAGCACATCATGGTGCGGATACGCAAAACCGCAGTTTCTGAAACCGTTACTAACCGCGATATAGAACACTGAGATTTTCCCACAGAAAATCGCGGTTCTTCTAGTTACACCGTGGTGGGTTGAAAGAACCGCAATAAACTTTACTTTTAAATCTTCGTGACTTCCATTTAAAATAAAATGAATCTTCTACCATATGAATTCTCAGGAAACAGTCTGCATTAACAATCATTCGTTTTCATTCATTTATGAAATAACTAATAGTTTTTTTGTGGCTCTACTTCAAGCCCTCCTCAACAGAAACACATTAAAAACTAAATAAAAGCTGTAGCATTTTTTATCAATCGATTTGTGAAATTTCTACCACGATAATTTGCAGATGAATTGAAAATCGTTATATTGTGCTAGATTAAGTATCGTTTGGTATATCAGTTTAACATGAAAATGATAGTGAACAGATGTATTTCAAATTAATAGACATTTCTTTTAAACAAAATGAAAAGTTACCGCGTTTATAATAGAGAATACCGCGGTTTACAAAATCGGTGAGAACCGTTACATGTGAAACTGCGATTATGATGCAGTAAACCGCGGTTTATGAAACCGGTGATAACCGCTATATTTGAAACCCGTGATAACCGCTATATTGGAAACCACGGTTATGATACAGTAAACCGCCGTTTATCAAACAGGTGATAACTGGTATATTTGAATCCGCGGTTATGATACAGTAAACCGCAGTTTATGACATCGGTAGTAACCGCTATATTTGAAACCGCGATTACGATACAGTAAACCGGGGTTTATGAAACCGGTGGTAAACGCTATATTGGAAACCGCGGTTACGAATGCACACACCGCGGCTTTTGTGAACGCGGTGCAAAAAGACCGCTGTGAACCGCGGTTTTCAGCGGTTATCGGATTGACACCGCGGTGGAGTGCGATGAAACCGCGGTTTTCGTATAAAAATTTTTCCGTGGGTATCGAATGATGAAAAATAGAGTGCACGATATCTTATCTGTCATTACATATAACATGTTCAATTCGTTTGTTTTCCGTCTCAAATGTGTAACAACAAGTTCAATGTCGTGCGCTCGCCATTCAAACAAATGAATGATTATGATTCTTTTGTTATTACCCCCGTTTCGTATGGAATAAGAAAAAAAA